GGCCGGGGCTGCCGCCGTGCCCCCGGCGGCAGATTTTGTTGCGGTGCGGCGGGGACGCAGGCACAGCAGCGCGGGCGCTGCCCCGCTCAGGGGGGCTGGGAGCAGGTACCGCGGAAACCGTTGCAGACGTTCGCGGAAAAGGTGTTTCTTCCGCTGTTGCCAGCGGGGCACCCGAAACGCGGGCGATTCTGTTTTCCTCCTCTGTCTTCCGGGAGACCAAACCTCCGCGTCGTCCGGTGTGACTCCGGGTGCTGCCTTAGCGGGTCTGCGGTCCCAGGTGTCACCGAACTACCGCACTCGTCCTATTTCCGTTCAAAATTAGGCTCTTTTCTTTAGAATTTCGACTCCTGCTTTGAAAACAATATAAACCTACGCTTCTGGGTTTTATTTTAAATCGTTCAAGTATTTTCTATGTATCATTTCAGGACTTCTTTTCATGCTAGAATGCACACTAACTCCTGTCAAAGTTAGAGTCTGTATGTTTCACTTAATCTGGACGGCTGCAAAATAAGATGTTCCTCTGAAAATAACAACGCTTTCAAATTAAAGTGCGTTTTCAGCCAGTTGAATGTTCTGTAACAGTGAGAAACAATCCACAGAGTTTGCAAAAGCTTTAAAATGCCAAACAGATTAAAGACTCTCATTAAACAAACAAAACCCCCATAAAACAAAACAAAAAACTTAGAGGGGGCAGGTTTTACTAAACTGTTTTCATCTGCATGGTTCTTAAAACCTGCTGTTGCCTAAAAATCCCGAAGTAAAATACAGAAAACTGAATCTGCTTTTGTGTTCCATTTTCTCTTAGTATATTTGACTTTATCAAAACAGTTTAATAATTTCTATTTCATATGTCTATTTGTGTGAGATGCTTTTATTTCCTTAAGTCCAACCATTACCTACTTTACATATAGAGCTTTTCTCTCATAACTGCTGCAGGACGACTAGAGATCCAGCAAATATTTACATTCTCTGAGAGAAAGCTTAGCTAATGGAAACAAAACTTTAGTGAATTGTGTTTTGTTGTTGCAGCCTATTTGATTAGCAATTAACAACTTCTTAGCAGAAAATCTCTTATACTACAATGTTTTAAATTGAAAGAGATAATCAGACTGAAATGGCTGACAAAAAGCAAGAGCTATTCACCTGAAAAAATGAAAGTTGCTCCTTTAGACAGATTAGTCCCAAATTGTTCTGTCAATATCAAGAGTAAATTACTGAAACTTTACATCATCAATTTATAATTGTAGAAATCTTGTTTGACTATGTTTATCTATGCTAAATTCCTCAATTGCTGTTCATCCAAACTACAGTTGTTCAAATATCGCTGCCTGAAACTGGATAGCCGTGTGTTTATACAAGGAATGCGAATTGTGCATGTATAAATATGCATGTGTATATTCAGCAAACCAGGCAAAATACATTTTGATTTGTAAAAAATCATCAGACATTCTAGACAAGCAGCTTTCAGGTTAAGGGTTATTTACAAACTGTTCATTTGATTATTATTCACTAGCTATTGGCAATTCATACCTGATTGGTCACCTGCTTCTTGGCTGGGCAAGCAAAAGCAATTACAGAAGAAAAGTTAGATGACAGTGAAAATTAATTTTCAAGCTCTGTACATATATATCTGTAAAACGTACGGATTAGCGGACAAGTCAAATATGCTTGGTGGCCATCTCGATACCTGGGGATAAATTAGTGATGAATCACGTTTGCTCATTCCCCAATGTATCTGTCAATCTGGGTTTTCATTGCTCAGTCAGCATGACAGTTTCCATTGCCACCGAGCGATGATGTCACCGATGCCGCTGTGGTACTAACCATACACCCACGGCATTTACTGGAAAAGTCTCACCCACTCCAATAGGAATTTTTGATGTGAAACAGTGAGGTTTGCTACATCATCCCAAAAAAGGAATTTAAAAACTCTGAAACACAAAGAAATGCAAATTAAAATACTCTGATGCATCCGCTTGCATTGGGTGCAAGGGTTCTGGTACGAATGCACTATGTCAGCGCAACGGTGGGCAGAAGTCTTTGGTTGTATGTGCACGGGTAAACGCGATTTCACAAGAGTTCAGGAGTCAGAGTGCCCACTGAAGCCATCAGGAAGTCTAGCGTGCATCGTGCCGGCAGGAACAGGCCTGGTTTGAAAGCAGCAAATAAGCCTGTTTGGCAATAATTTGGCAATATTAATCAAAATACTTGAAGGAAAACATTGGGGGGAAAAAGTAAAATCAAGTTATAACAACGGTTGTTTGGTATTAAATACGGCTTTAAAC